TTATGTTTTAAAAAATAGGTACTTAGTTTCGACCAGGGTTTGAATGTTAAAATTACCATTGCAGTGGCGTATTCGTGCTCATTCAGCTTTTCCTCCACTTACATTGCAGCATCTATTGTGAAAAGCGGAAATACGCTAGCAACTTCCACTATTCCTTCATCAACGATGTCGCCGTTCATTTTTCTAACTGACTCCTGCACTTTCGCCAAAATTACTTTACACTCGCGCATCAGGCGATTTTAAGCCATTGTCTCGTTCCTGTTAGCCATCTGAAATGGGGTAAAATATTACTTGTAAATAAACCCAATATTTATTTATTTATTATACCCACATTTTCACACAAAACCTTTTCCATATCATCAATGCGATGATCAAGTACATCCAAGCGGCTTTCAACCTGTCTTTGGTTTTCCATTATTTTTTCGTCCATATCGTCCATTTCGTTATTCTTACCTTTATTCACCTATTTTATATTTATTTGATTAATTTGTTTTCGCTAGTTTACGACTGCGCATCTTAATTTGTTTTCTCAGAATATATGTAAATAAAAGTTATGGACAAGGTTAGTCGAAAAAGTACTCACTAAAAAGAACTCATTAAAAAGAATTCATTATGATGTACTCGGTATGTTTGACGTTATAATATAATTTTTTTACTTATTTCTGTGTTTGATTAATTATGTTAATATCATATTAATATTTATATGAGCTTCCTAACCAAAATTTTAAAGAGCAAAATGTTTTTGAATAACATCGACGCAAGTTTTTCCGAACCGAGTTAAAATATCAATTACTTTTGTCAGTAAGTTTTGTGGTCCTAACATCTTACACAAGCAGTTGTCTCTTTCTCTCCTTTCCGAAAAATGTGTTACAAAATATATGCCATTTACTTTGAGTGGGAAGAACTGAATATATATTTTTAAAGTTTTGCTATTTAACAAGAAGAAGAAGAAATTATTTTGCATATGTATTAGTTTTTTCGAAAAATTTTACATGTGTATTGGAGAATCGGGTAAAGCTGCCAGGGGGAATTCTTTGCCTTTGCGAACGTTCACGCTCACGCTCGCTTTGAACTGCATATCAAGCTTTAAAAGATTGGAAAACTTGGTATTTCACATACATAATAACAAATATTTTAATAGAAAGCAGCTACATTTTTGCTTTTATATTAAAATATCAATAATGTAAATAAAAATGTGGGTGACAAATTACCAAATTGTTGGCAATATTTATCAAGATAAAAGCTCCGATAGTTATTGCTTGCGGTCTCCATTGACGAAATATTGCCTGATAACATTATTATCAAGATAAAAACTTTTGCCTGTGGAGACAGCATGTTAAGCAAAAACTTTTACCTGCGGAGACGGGCCGTAAATAGGGAATGGCAAAAGTTTTAGAGATGGCAAGAATTTGTGGTAGTAGTACACTTTAGTGGAATCAGGTCAAAATTAACAGAAAAAATTCGAGAGTGGTATCAATCGACGCGTCTTAACGCCAATAATAAATATCCGAGAGCAGAAATTAACATTTTTAATTCATTAAAGAGTTATTTGCAAAAAAACACTTGCACCAGTTTTCCTCCATCTTATTTACATAAACTAACTTCACAGATTGTTGTGCGGATTTTCACCATCGAAATATTTCCACTAAATACAGAGTTTCGTGAAAATTTACACTTAAAACATCACAAATGTACAAAAACTAATGAATGCTTGTTAAGTTGAGTTTATTTTTTCCATTTATTTGCGTCAAATACAAGTCAAAACATAGTGCGAAAAGTGCAAGTGTTTTTTGCATGAATTAAAAACGTTAACTTCCGCTCTCGGATTAATATTATCATTCACGTTAAACCCGACGATTAATACC